CGCAACTTCCGGCCGGCCCAGGACGAGGACGTGGAGAAAAGCGCCCCGAGGAGCCTCAGCGAACCCCTGCGCAGACTCAGATACAGAGTGTGGGAGGAGGAGGAAGAGGAAAATCAGGAACAGGAGGAGGAAGTGGAGTAGAGACGGAAAATTGGAAAAAAAAAGGAAAAAAAATGGTGGAAATTGGAAAAAATGGGAAGAAAAACGGAGAAAATTGGAAAAATCTGCTTCAAAATCCGATGAAATTTGACTGAAATATGGGGAAAAGAAGAGGAAGAAATTGGAAAACAAAATGGCGGAAATTGGAAAAAAATGGCAGAAATCGGAAAAAAATGGCGGAAATCGGAAAAATCTGCTCCAAAATCCGGTGAAATTGGACCAAAAAATGGGGAGAGGAAGAGATAGAAACTGGAAAAAAGATGGCGGAAATTGTAAGAAAAAATTGCGGAAACTGGAAAACAAAATGGCGGAAATTGGAAAAATCCGCTCCAAAATCTCGTTAATTTTGCCCGAAAAATGGGGAGAGGAAGAGGAAGAGGAAGCGGATCCATGGGATGAATCCATCCTGGAAAAATCAGAAAAATCAGAAAAAGTGGAAATTTCCACCCAAGATGGCGGCGATTTTCCCCAAAAGGCGGAGCCGGAAGCGGAGCCGGAAGCGGAAGTGCGCTATGACGTCACTTCCTGTTTCCGGGAGTGGCGGGAGGCGGCCGAGCTGCTGGAGAGAAACTTCCGGCCGGCCCAGGACGAGGACGTGGAGAAAAGCGCCCCAAGGAGCCTCAGCGAACCCCTGCGCAGACTCAGATACAGAGTGTGGGAGGAGGAGGAGGAGGAAAATCAGGAACAGGAGGAGGACATGGAGTAGAGAGGGAAAATTGGAAAAAAAACGGGAAAAAAATGGCAGAAATTGGAAAAATCCACTCCAAAATCCGGTGAAATTTGACCGAAATATGGGGAGAGGAAGAGGAAGAGGAAGTGGAAAAACCGGAACAGGAAGTGGAGTCAGGAAGGAAAAAATGGAAAAAATCAGAGAAAATTGGAAAAATCCGCTCCAAAATATGGTGAAATTGGACCAAAATATGGGGAGAGGAAGAGGAAGAAGAAGAGGAAAAACCAGAAAGGGAAGTGGAGTAGAGAGGGAAAA